TTACAAGTGACACAGAATTTCACTTGACAGAGTAATATAAATTTCACAGTGTTTGTTGTGATGCACAGTATTGTCTGCCACCAGTTATTCATATTACCAGTTGTATGTATGCAACATTGGAAGAAAACAGAAAAAAAGAAAAAAGTACACAAGAAACTAAGAAGAGAAAATTGAAGAAAGGAGACCACACAAATTAAGCATTAACTGCTGCTTTCCACAGACCAGCAGAAGCCCACTGTACAGTTGTCCAAACCATCCTGTTTACATGTATAGCTGTATCTCTTTCCTTCATTCCCTCTCCTGTCCTCCTTAACTCAGCAATTCTTTCCTTTTGAATAGGTTCATGCCCTTTTCCCAGTACCTGTTGTACCCTTCAGATGCCATTTTGTCTTTCAGGTTCTCACGTTAAGGAAACAATACGATGTTTGCACAATTGGGCCTGACAGTGGTGAAAGAAAGGCTCAGTACCGCTAAAGAAGACATAGATAAAATAGAGGAGAATAAAAAAAGGATGAAAACTCTGAATTAGCAATTCAGGAAAGAATTGCAATGCATTAAAGGGTTTCAAACAGATATCTATGAAATTAAGAACTCTATTGAAAGCTGGCAAATCCACTTGAATGAAAGTGAAGGTAGACTTTCAGACCCGGGAGACAGAAGTGCAGCTAAAAAACGTGAAAGGAGAGATCTCCTGTAATAGCTATAACCATCAATGTAACAAGGAACCAGGAAATAACAATTCAGCAACTACAAGGTGACGCAAAGAAATGTAATATAAGAATAGTAGGTGTCAACGAAGTAGCAGGAGACAGCACAAATGACATAAAAAGACTATTTGCAGAAGTACTATGAGAAAATTTTTCAAACATGAAAAAAGAACCTGACATACAGTTAAGCAAGGTATACATACAGAACTCCAACAGCTATAATCAAAATAAATCTACCCCTAGACACATAATTATTAAGAACTCAGAAACTGCATAAAAGAATAGAAAATTAAAAGCCACTAGAGAGAAGAAACAGATTACATATAATAGAAAGCCCGTTAGAATCATGGCAGATTTCTCAACACAAACCATCTGTATTAGTTGATACATTGTGTCAACTTGGCTGAATCAGCTCCGGCAGCGTGGGGGCCTTGCCCTGCAGGTGGCCAGGGCCCAGGAATTGAGAAAGGAAGGAAGCCGCCCTGCTTGGTTTCCTGCTGCCCCGCCCTGCTTCCGTGGAGAAGTCTCAGTCTTCAAGGAGCTGGATCTCTGCAGCCGTGCCACTTTGGAGAAGCTCCGATCTTCACAGTCATCAGCGCAGAAGGAAGAGAGAGGCTTGGATGCCGCAGCTGCTGCTCCTCCTCTGCTCTTCATTGTTTTCTGCCACATGAACGACTGTCGTTTGCCTTGGAGCCAGCGGAATATGGACTGAACCCTCCAGTAACTGTGAGCTAAATTTCCTTCCTTCATTTTGGGTGTTTGTCCCAGCAACGAGTAAAAAGTAACTAAGACACCATCAAACCAAGAAAGGTTTGGAGTGAAGTATTTCAGGTCCTGAAAGAAAATACCTTGCAACCCTGATCCATGTACTCTGCAAAACTATCTTTCAAATTCAACGGAGAGATAAGATCCCTCAGTGACAACAACTGAAGAAATCCATGGCCACCAAAAAGAAAAAGAAAGAAGAGAAGTGATTGCAGTTTCAACAACAACAGAAAGGAGCCACCAAACGGAGAAAGTGATTAAAAAGAAGAATAAAAGTATGGAATCTACTGCAGGAAAATAACATGACAAATGTATGTCAATATGTAATAGTTATAACCAGCCTCAATTCATGATTGCCTTCTTTCCTGGAGATGGGTTGAGGTTGTCCTGGAACGAACTTGGTCTCCACCTCTTTTCACTTTTTTATTGCTCTTTTGAGCCATCTCCATGGCTCCAGCCAGTGGTCAGTCCTTAGCACGTCAGTGGACTTGAATGAAGGGAGAGGTTGCCTGGGGGGTCACTCACAGCCACCTCAGGTGTCATAAGCTTCAGCTCTTTGGCCTTTAGGCAAATGGCTCTCAGAGATAAATAAGAGTAGGCAGGGTACAAAACCAGCTAACTCAGTGGGCAGTGCAGGACTTAGGCAGAGGAACAGGACTGCACCTTTGTGGGAGGGGTTGCTCCCTCACTAGGCTAGTGATTCACACAGCTGAGTTGCTGGGGAATGTTCTGCTTCACTTCAGGGAGAAGGTGCTGGTGGAGGGTGCTGGAACCAGCACACTATCTTCGAGCTTTACAGTGAGCAAGTATCGATGAGGCCTCAGGCTCACATACCATCCTGGGGGAAGGTCAGTGAGTGAGTGACCGCAAATAGAGCTGGCAAGGCTTTTGGTCGCCCTGTTATTTCACTCCTTACAGGGACAGACTTTCCCCGTGTGTGTAAAATCGGCCCACGATAGCTGTACAAATGAACATGGTCTGATTCTGCAAGTG